GTGTTGTTAGGGTGTGTCTCTACAGGTTGTATGTATCAGTTGCAAGTTTGAGTATCGGCCTGAGGGTATCAGTTTGAGACAGAAATTTTGGGGCAGAATTCAGTAGAGAGCACAATTATCACTACAAGAAATTGCACTTTTGGCGACTACTTTTGGTGACGACATCAATTTTTCATAGCCAAAAGTATATTTTTGGCAATACATTAATGAATTTCGTTGGTAAAAGTAGACCTTTACCGACGCAATTTACTACCATCGCTAAAAAAGGATAACATTCACTAAGCGCCAAAATTATTGGTTGGCGCCAAAATTTCAAAAAATTTAGCTACGAGGCTTATTTTTTAGCAACACAATTAGCGTTGCTATTAGTGTGCTTACTTTTGGCGACGACATGTCGGTGTAGGCAAAGAGTTAAACATTTACCGACGATAACTGTGATACTCATGTTCCGTATTATGCTAATTTATCCTCCTTATGCATATGATTATGTGTTTGATATGATTTTGAGTGCCATTTATATAAATATATGTGGTTTTGAATTTCTATCGGTTCACCGTAGGAATATCTATTTGATTATTTGCTTCGGAAATTAAATTAAAGGCCTTATCGGCCACAGAAGCCGAAATTGGCTTCGCCATTGTGATCAGCATAATTTTTAGAGCCTACGGTGAAATTTGATTGAAAATTGATTCGAATAAGATTAATTGGATTAATTTAATGAATTAGTGCTCAATTATTTTATAATAAAATAATGTAATTGAGAGGGAGCCTTTAAAGGGCCATTTTACACCCTCACTTTGCTCCTTTTGAGCTTATCATCCGAAACTATGCTCTAGAGAGAGAAGGGAGCTGAAATTAGTGAGAAAAGGAGCTCAAGGAAGAGTTTTGGCTAGGGAACTTGATAGCTTTGAAGCTATACTCAAGAATTTGTTGTTGATTGGAAAAATTGAGCCTCTAGGTAAGCATTTGATCTTGAATTCATAAGTTTGAATTTGTGATTTTGTAAGTTCAAGGTTTGTTTGTGATCAAGGGCATAATTTGAGTTGAATTTATTGAATTGGGAGTTTATATGAGCATGCATGTGCATGATTGCTATAGTGTTGCATATTCATGCAAGAGCCATGTTGAACAAGAGGAATTAGGCATCAAATCTCACATGCGTGCATGGTTTTTATAAGTCCCATGATCATAAGCCTTATTTGTACCATTTGAACTTGAATTGGAAGCCAAAACTTACATGCATGTTTGAATATTGAAGATATGAAGCTCATATGGGGTTTGAAAGCATAAGCCATGATTATACAAGAATGTTGATTGATTTTGGAGAATTGAACCATGATTTTGAGTGATTAGCTTCATATTGTTTGTGTACCCTTGAAATATAATGTGTTTATATGTTTTTGGGACTGAAATCATGAGTTGAGACCTTTGAACTTCAAAATTGAACTCCAAGAACAGTTTTGGAATTTCCAGAAAGTTTGATGTCCGCTCGAGCGGGGGAACCGTCGCTCGAGCGTGAGACACGTGCTCCCAGCATATTTTTGCAGACATGGTTCCCGCTCGAGCAGGGGAAGTTGATGCTCGAGCGGGGAGCTATGTAGACAGACTTTCCGCTCGAGCGTCCGAGTTCACTCTCGAGCGTGAATTTGATGCAACCAGTACTTTTGCAGACCTATTGGGCCCGCTCGAGCGGGGAAGTCCACGCTCGAGCAGGGGAAGTTGATGCTCGAGCGGGGAGCTATGTAGACAGACTTTCCGCTCGAGTGTCCGCGTTCACTCTCGAGCGTGAATTTGATGCAACCAGTACTTTTGCAGACCAATTGGGCCCGCTCGAGTGGGGAAGTCCACGCTCGAGCGGGGACCCTGTTTCTGAAATTTTGTGTGATCATTTTGTGTTTCGTTTTCCGTTCTCTTTCACTTGCAAGCACTTTTAGGCATGCATTAAGCATTGTAATTGAGTTAAAGAGATAAGAATGAAGCCTAAAGAGGAATATGTGAATTAAAGAACAGATTAAATCGTTTGTGACCCATATGTGTTATATGATGCGTAGGGTCAAACTCCAGGGCAAATCCACAAGCCGATCACTGTGAGTAGTATCAATATTTTGAAGTTTGTCAATTGTCCAATTGCTTATTTCTTTACAAGTTTGCTAGTTTGAATTATGGACAACCAATTGACATGAATAATTGGGCCGAAGGCCATTTTGACGTGAATGGATGGGCCGAAGGCCGTTTTGACGTGAAAGAATGGGTCGGAGGCCGTTTTGACAAGAACGAATGAATGGGCCGGAGGCCGTTTTGTCAAGAATGAATGAATGGGCCTGAGGCCGTTTTGACAAGAATGAATGAATAGGCCGAAGGCTGTTTTGACAAGAAGGAATGAATGGGCCGAAGGCCGTTTTGACAAGAACGAATGAATGGACTGGAGGCCATTTTGACAAGAATGAATGAATGGGCCGGAGGCCATTCTGACAAGAATGAATGGATGGGTCGGAGGCCGTTTTGACAAGAATGAATGAATGGGCCGGAGGCCGTTTTGATAGGAATGAATGAATGGGTGGAGGCCGTTCTGACAAGAACGAATGGATGGGCCAGAGGCCGTTTTGACATAAACGAATGGGCCAGAGGCCAGTTTGACATAAATGATGGGCCAGAGGCCAACTTGACATAAATGAATGGGCCAGAGGCCAGTTTGATGTAAATGAATGGGCCAGTGGCCAGCTTGACATAAATGAATGGGCCAGAGGCCAGTATGACATGGATGAATGGGCCAGAGGCCGTTTTGACATAAATGAATGGGCCAGAGGCCAGTTTGATACGAATAACAGTTTGACACGAATGATAGTTTGACATGAGTAACAGTTTGACCTGAAAGTACGAATAGGCTAAAGGCCAGTTTGACATGAATGATACGAATGGATTGGGCCCGAGGCCGTATGATGTGTTTGGAACCGCAGTTACTTAACTTACATATATCTATGTATGTATGTATTAGTTAGAAATATGAATTGGGCCCAAGGCCGTTTGATGTATATTGTCCCAATGTATATTCCTTATTTGATATTATTCACTGGGCTTTTGCTCACGCTCATTCATGTGTTTGTAGGTGAGCCAAGAGGAGTCCAAACCTAGCCCCAGTGAAGTCTGTATGGAACAACTAAGGTTTTGAAGAGTCAGCCCTCGCGTCTCACGCACGAGACACATCTTCACCCTTTTGTCATTCTATGTTATTTTGTCATGTTGGCGAGGACTTTGGTGTACGTCTGTATATAGCTTTGTTTGGCTGACTTAGATTTGAATGATCCTGTCTGTATAGAACTTTATGTTACTATACCTTCTGTTGTGAGTTATTAACATATGTATGTATGGAATGTTATGATGTGCATATAAGCACGACTCTATGGACAAAGTTTTAAAATTGCTTCCGTTTGGCCCCTTTACTATGATGAGTTTTGTCTTTTTTGGTTCGAGGTCATAGGTAATCTCGTGATTACTGGCCGGTTATGGCCTTAACCCATAGGGGTGGGTTCGGGTCGTGACAATAACACTATTCGTTGGTAAAAGTTTTACTAGTGAAACGAGGTGATTTAGTAATTTGTGTTTTTATTATAACTTTTGAAAAAGTTTTAAATATTTTAGTTGTTGAATTGTAAAATTAAAGTGATCATTGAATTAGATCACAAAATGAACCCATCAAGCGTTAACACACTCTTAAGTTGAGATGGCTAATTTGAGATAATTTAAACTTTTCAAAGAATGTGGTTAGATTATCAATTTTAATATGTTTGGTTTTATTTTCAGAAATTAGTTTCAAAATTTTTTTTTTCTATAAACTGAAAAAAAAAAATTTGGGTGAAATGTACAACCGAAAAAAAAAAGTAGTGCCAAATTTTGAGCGCCAAACGCCAAAAAAAAATTAAAAAAAAAAAATTTCACAGCGCAATCGTGAATTGTATGATAAAAAAAAAAATACCAATATCAAAATACACTTAACTCGCTTCTAATCATAAAGGAACTCGCTTCTAATCATCTATACTATATATTAAGCAAAAGGAGATTTTTAACACCAAGCCTTGTGGGAGCTCCAATCGCCCAATCTAAATTTTTTAATTTTTTGATTTAAAAAAAAAAATCTTAGTATTTATTAACTTATCCCAACTCCTAAGTCTTACCCTCATAATAACACTTTAATGCATTAAGTACAAGCATAAAAAAAATTCTTTTGAAATCCAACACATGAATTCTTTGAAAAGTCCCAACACATATGATTATTATCCCTCATAATAATATTTTAATGCATTAAGAACAAGCATAAAAAAAATTTCTTGAAAAGTCCAACACATATAATATAATAAAAAAAGGACATTTAATTCATTGAAAAGTCCAACACATATGGTTATTATCAAAATATTAAACTTTAATATAATATAAAAAAAGAAAAAAAGAAGACATTTAAAAAAAACATTTAAAAATCACAATTCACATATATAGATAATTGCAAACACAATCCGTGCATAGCACGGGTGATACGCTAGTCTATATATAAGGAAAAGGGGGTTTCTAACCCCCAAGCCTTGTGAAATTTTCAATATCAAAATCTTAATTTTCTAAATATTTTATTTAAAAAAAAATCTCAGTCAATATCAAAATCTTAATTTTCTAAATATTTTATTTAAAAAAAAATCTCAGCATTTATTAACTTTTTTCAATCCACATACTTGCATTTATTGATTTGATCAAAATCCCCTGATCAGCATTTATTAACTTTTTCTAATCCACATGTCTTTTGAGAGCTTTGGTCAAAATCTCCTCATACAAATAATTATAGATACAACCCATGCATAGTTACTGTAGTACCTTTTCACATTCTTCCATACACTATGGTTAGTGATAAGATTATTAAATTATTTTTTATAAAAAATCTAAAAAATTAATTTATATATTAAAAAAAACTAAAACAAATATAAATATTTATAATTATCTCGGGCCATGCACGGTGATAAGCTAGTAAAGGAAAATAGAAAATTGTAGGAGAAGAAAGAGGAGAAGAGAGGGAGAGTAGAAGGGAGCAAAATCGAGAAGAGATAGAGAAAAAAGAAGGTTCGAATGAGCAAAACCGCAAGACAAGGGTTTCAATCTCTCTCGATATTGCATTCTCTACCCAATTTTTTCTTTGAATTTGAAGATTTGTATTCCGACTTCGATTAATTAGATGTTTTGTTGTTTTTGTGAAGTGAAGGTGCACTCTCTGCTTAATGTTTTAATGTTGATTTTTGGGATTTTTTTTGAAATGAACGAGATGAGTTTTCTGAGGTTTCACATTAGGGCTAGGGTTTTGAGATCTTTCAGAGCATTTTTATTCTCTGATACTTTTTTGAGTTTGAGATTTCTTGATGCTTTCGGATGATTAGTTGTTTTTGAATGGGACACTTGTGCACATCATTTTTTCTATTGGGTTTATCAGTATGTTGGCATTTTGTGAATGATTTGTTAGGTATATGGGGTGAAGATTTAATCTGGAGAGTTTCTGGGTTGAGGAATTGTGATTTTTAAATTTAGATTTTAATGATTTTAGGACTTGCAATTTGGGTATACCAACACAACAAAAATAAGTGTGAATTATCAAATTACTCCTCAAAAAGATGATTGACTATTGAAATCAATGAAGACCTATCACTTGATTTGATAATTCACAAATTTTTTTTGGTTTTTGTTGAAAAAAATATAAATTATGGTTGTGCTACTAAAATTTTTGTTCGTTTAGAACATGTATGATATGGGAAAGGTATATTGAAATTGAAACAAAAATGTGTATTTACATCTGTGTATTTAGAACATGTGTACTTGTTCGTTTTGTGTGATTTTGAACTCAGATTTCTATAAATTGAGGTTTTTTTTTTTTTTTTTGATGATTGAACACAAAACAACTCGCTCTCTGGAGTTTCGAGAAGTTTATCTCTGTAAATTGGGTCTTTAGTCACTTTATTACAGTTAAATTATTAAATAAGTTCAATAATATAAATATTGACATGTAGTTTTAAATGTTAACTTCAGAGTATTTTAGAATGAAATTTTATTTTGACCACGCGCTTTCTTAATATTAAGTATGAGGTTGTTTCTTTTATATTCTAAGAAATTGCTATTACAATTCTCTGATATGTTACATTCTGTTGTTGTGTGTATTGTGTTTGCCTTTGGGTGCTGCTGCTGGAAGATGATAAGAGGAGGCTTTCAAAACAGAGTTTGCAGTGCATCTGCTAGTGCTGTTGGAGAGCTATCCCTGCTAATTGCTGCTGCTGCCAGTTGTTGTTGCTGATTTTTGCTGCTACAGAGCTATTTTAGGTGCTGATTTTGGTGCTGTTAATTGCTGTTTTGGGTGCTCATTTTGGTGCTGGTTTTTTTCTTGGCTTTGGTTAGTTGCTCACCAACTCTTGATGGCGTGCTAGCAAGGGATTGGACGGGCATATTGGTGCCAACTTAATTGGGATTGGTATGTCTCACTATGATGCTTTTTGCACTCATCTCTTTTTCTTTCTTGATGTAATGAGTTCTTTGTTCATCAATAAAAGTTTTATTTTGCCAATCAAAAAAAAAAAAAAAAGACCTAAAACAGTTAAATATTGTTTTAGTTTGTGAGAAATTGATTTTAGGTTTTTATACTTATAATTGGTCTATTATAATTTGTAGAATCTATAATAATTTATATTTTAATTTAAAACAGTGTCTAATTGCAATTTGGTTGGGTGTAAATGTCTAACATTGGTTTATACTATTTGGGTGCTTAACTGACACTTATTGAAACACTTATTACTTGTATTACACATCTTTTGTAAGTTAACATGATGATTGAAAAGAACATAAGATAGCATGGGTGTTACTGTCATTCATTCTTTTGTTATTGTGATACATTCTGTCTTTCATATAATCAAATAAATGTTGTGACTTTTTTATTCATATACTCGTGCTTATATTGACTATAAAATTATTATCCAATTTATTGCTATTATTCTATGTTCTTAATTTTTTGTCCAGGTATATATTCTTCTATTGTTTATTGTCATTCTTATGATAATATGTGCACTAAATATTATGTTCATTATTCTGTATCATTTATTTCACTTCTAAGCATTGCTGGACCACTTGCACAAATGAAACAAATTAAGGTAATAAGAGTTGCTATTTTCTCTTTTATGTTAACTTCAAATTGCCAATATGTGGTTCCTTTGCACATAAGCTTGTATTTGACAAACTTGGCTTTAAAGGGGGCTCTATTTGGTCATTCATCCTTGGCATTTAAGGAAGTTCTGAATAGTTCATGAGTGGTGCTGACACATACATATAATAATTAATAGTACATGCCAAGGATCAAAGAAGATTTAATACAACTAAAGGATGATTAAGGGAGTTGGATTATACCAATTTGCCATATGTGTTTATATTCACTATTATATGCATAAATCGTTGTATAGAGTAGCAATTGGGATTGCCATAACCGCCTTCGCTTAAGTTTTTTTTTTTTTTTTTTAAAGCTTTAGTTACTTACGCTCATCTATCATGTATGCTAATGAGTGCAATTGTGTTTTTCAGTTTATTATTGATCATATATGCAAAGGGTTGAGTGATGAGAGCATATATGGAGTGTTATAATACTAATCAGTGTGTTTGGTTTGAGTTTTTTAGATTAAGTTTTTTGAAAACTGAGTTTTTTGGTTTTTGTGTGTTTTTATTTTTATTTTTAGTGAATATTTTTAAAATTTTAACATTTTTTTACTTTTTTAAATGCATCTTACTTAGATGTATTTAAAAAGTAAAAAATTTGTGAAAAAATATTTTAAAAAATTAATAAATACATAAAAATACAAATAATGTACTGAATTCTCGTAATTTTTTTTTTGCTTGTATTTTTGGTATTTAGTGAATTTTTAAAAGGTTTTTTTTCACAATTTTTTTTACTTTTTAGGTATATTTATGTTAGGTATGTCTAAAAATTAAAAAAATTGCTTAAAATATTAAAAAAAATCAGGAAAGACGAAAAAACTCAAAAAACAAGAAAGTAAAATTTTTTGAAAAGTGTTTTTGAAAAACTCTAACCAAGCAAAGTGAATGCTGTTTGTTACTGTGCAGGATTAATTGGATGTGAGATTTGAGAGTTCTCCAAATTGTGGGTTGAGTGTTGTGAGACCATAAACATAAACATGTGGGTTTACACTAACACTTTCTTGCCTATCTCTATGTGTAATTTCTGTAGGTACAATAGGAAGCATGAGTGTTGTGATGTGTATAGTAGTTGGTTGAGCGAAGTGAGACCACAAATTGAGTGTAGCTTGTCTCATTACCTGCTTTTCTTGATGAGTGTGATGCATATATGTGGGTTGAGTGATGTAGGAATAAATTGTGTTGTGAGCTTTGTTAATGCAGGTTGTGTAAAATCTTACTATTATTCAATACTTTTTGAAGTGCCATTTTTCAAGTCCTACTATGCTTAATGGTGGTGGAGGAAATAGAAGACGTGGAGACCAGGCTACAAACTGCACCAGTCTTGTGCTTCCCATCCTGATGGACTATAGTTGCTATTACTTTATGTTGTTTTTTGGAATAATGGCTACTTGTATTACAATTACTTTTGATCGTCAATTTGAGAGTGTTGTGCTTATTTTGAGCTGCTGCGATGTTCAGCTATACGTTGCTTGTACTGAGCTGTTCTGCTGGTATGGCTGTTATGCTATTTGTTGAGCAGCTTTACTATTGTACTGCTCTGTCACCAAGTGTTGCTGCTGCAGCTTTCTGTGCTGCTGAAATACGTGATTTTGGATGCTACAGTTGGATGCTACAACTTCTGCTACAGCCCATATGGATGCCTTTGTTTGGATTGTTGCAGAATTTGGTTAAGACAAACTGCTATTTTGGGGCGTGGTGCTTATTTTATTTTAATTTTCTTTGTTTTTCTGTTTGTGTGGTCTTCTCCTGTACAGGGTCCCTATTTTATTTATATGGCTCTTGAACAGGTTTTTATTCTCTGTTTTTATATGTCCGCGTATAATTTTGTATAGCTGGTTTTAGGGCTTGGGGTATGCCCCTTTGAAATATTGTATATTTTCTTGTTTTATTTTATGACTTATTCACCAAAAAAAAAAAAAATCATCGTAAGGAAGCGTTCCCTCAATCTTGCAGCTCTTAGTTAATTATTTTCAAAACCAATCATCTCGACATTTCTGCACACTTAATTCTAGTCATGGAATATATGGCTAAGCAAAATATATAACTGATTTATATGTACTTGCAACTTCCAACTATATTTTGTTTAATTCAAATAAATAGTAGCTTTTGGGCATAACTCATGACCTGTTGTTGTGCTCTTTGTCTGCAGGTGTGTTGGTATTATGCCCTCTTGATCCTCAGCTTCTTTTTAAGTTCCATATTTGAGAGATTCGTGAATGTGATCACCTAACTATGAAGGGACCCAAGGTAAATTTTCTTCCGCTTTCTGGCATAATGGTAATTGGAATATGGATTATTATAGTAATGTGAAACAGAAATGAGAACTTGATATTGCACTTGTTATAAATGTGTGATGTTTGACAGCTTTTGGAAACATAGTATGCTTTTGGAAAACTTAGTTGTTGGAACAATCATATGACTTGTTGTTTTTTTAAATGCTGAAATGGTGTTCTAAAGTAGAGGCAATGTGTCTTATTATTGGAATTCATATGGGATCAAGATCAAGAAACAGTATGCAGTGTTTGATTCCAAGGTTCTTAGTAAAATTCCAAGAGGACCATTGAAAGGCAAGAAAAGGGCTGTTGTCGGTCTGATGGTCTCAGGAAAAGGGCCCTGCTGGTCTGATGCTACTGGTGGCTGATGGCTATTGCTTGCTGGTCTACTGGTGTTGCTGCTACCCTGGTGGCTGATGGATTGCTTCTGCTGCTGCAATGTTGCTATGAGGTGGTTGCTACTAGATACTGGTCTGCTGCAAATTTCTAATAGTGGTCTTTATTTAGAGTCTTGTAAATGGTTATTGCTTCTCCAGATGTGTGCCTCATGGGAGAGGGATTCTTGTTTACCCAAACAGCCCACCATAAGGTATGATTTATTATTTATTTTTTAGTTCTCTGCGTAAATCATTTCAAATATATATATTGTTAGTACATAAACATATAATGTTATTTTCAAATATATAATTGTCGCGATCCCGGTTTCGATCTTTCTTTTTTGTTTTGCCACTTTGACTGGGCCGGTCGGGGGTCGAGAGGGCAGCGCCCCTTGGCGGGTTCCAAGGGCAGCGCCCTAGCAGGGTTGAGGGGCGCTGCCCCTCAAAACAAAAATGCAAAATGCATTCAAAGTTGTTTGTCCGCTCGAGCGGCCGTTTATGCGCTCGAGCGGAGAATGTTTAATTTCAGAAGTTTGACCTATTTGCAAAAGTACTGGGATAATGTATTTGACACTCGAGCGGGGCTTTCCACGCTCGAGCGGACCATGTATTATATCAGTTCGTGAATCTAATATTTCACATTACTTTTGTATATCTCTCTCTAAAAATATTTCCTCTCCCTTCTCTTTACATTTCCTACCAAAAACGTCACATGATCTTTGATTTCTTCAAATCCTTTGGGATTTGGACCTAAGTTCTTCACCAAAGTCGGTTATCTAGGCGAGGGTTACGTTGTGTGCGGTGGAGATCGATTGTTTTTTGGGGTTTCAACTCATTTCTTCTTCAAACTTGAGATAGGAATTTTCTACACTCTAATATTGTTTTTAGCTTAGTTATTTGCTTTTGTGTATAGATAATGAGATTTGGTTGTGGTTTGGACAAATCTAGGATTTGGGTATGAAATGAAAAGAGGGGTTTTGATGATTATGAGGTAAACGAGTATGAGGCTTAAATATAAGATCATGTTGTGTCAAAATAGTTGATTTTGGTGTTTGGGTTGATATTTGGTGAAAGGGGGGATTTTGCCCTAATTTTGATTAAATTATTCTTTTGCATAAATAATTGGGATTAACATTGAAAACGTGAGATTGGAAGGTTGCAATTATAAATGGTGATATTAGATATGTATTATCTCACCTATGAAAATTTTGAATAAACTATTTATTTTGATATTGAACATCTCTTCAGAAATAATTGCATTGGGTTATCGGTGAAGGATATCTATGATTGTTGTAGAAATTACATGAAGATTAGGCGATTTAATGCTAATCCATTATTGGTGTCATTGAATATGACCATGTTATAGATACATTGTATATGTATGTTTATTGGGATGAGAAAGGGGATGTACTCCATATGTGATTATGTTTATAAATACATTATATATGTATATTTGTTTGGGAAGAGAAAGGGGTTGGACTCCATTTAAAGTAAGTTGGTCGGAGTGTCTTGGGTGAAAGACTCGAATTTTTATATATACATGGGTGCCGATTCCTTTGGACGAAATATCCGTAAAATGGCAGGTTTGAAGTATTTATGTGAGATTTGCATAATTGGAAAAATCATTGAATTGCAGTCTTATTTTGATTCTTGAAAGATAACGAATTTAACTCATGAATTGAGTAGCATATATGAACTGGAAATGAAATTAAAGGAAAATGGAATAAGGTTGGTCTTAGTGACATATGGATATGCAGGTCTTGTGGATGTTTCAGGATCGGTATTGTTTATGTACGTGGTATTTATACCTTTACTAAACCTCATAAATTGTGTTAGATTATTTCTACTGGACTGTTGGCTCACCCTATATGGGAATACCATTTTCAGGTACATGTGAGATGCTTCCTCCAAGGCAATAGCGTTGATGGAGTTTTGGGAAGCAAGAGCTTCTTAATTATGCCTTATGTGTGTATGTTTGTTATTTGTAAAGCCAAGGGCTTAAGATGTAATGAGCGAGACTCCATTTTGTGTAACCAAGAATGTTCTTGGATAAATTTGTAAGCCTGTAGGGCGCTTTTTATCTGTTTGGCTTCCATTTCATACTTGTTGTAAAATACATGTTTGGGATTAGAACTGGGGCTTTGAGATGTGAACATGTATTTGGCATTTGGGATTTAATGGAACTGGGTGTATGGATTAGTTTGCTATATATATGTGGTTGTCTATCAGGTGGGTTTTGTTGCATAAATAGATATGTCATGCCTAATTTTCGGGGCGTTACAATAATGTTATTTTTTTAGGAATCAAACGTTTTTTTTTTGGTAATTGATTTATTTGGTAACAGCACTAGTGATGCTGACACTAGAGACTTTGATGGTGGTTGAAATCGATTTTTTAAGTAATTTTTTTGATTTGGTGTGCCTTGCATGTTTCCACAATATAAATTTACATTGTATTCGTTTTATCATTGGATTCCAAGCTATTTTAACTTTTTTAAAGTGTCCACGCTTCTTAGCTGGTCCTTTTCTTTGGCCTATTTGCCAAATGAATTTGATTCCTAGTGCCTGTTGATGTTGGAATTCATTAGTTGGTATAAACTAATTGCTGAATTTTGTATGCCAAGGGTGATGCTCAATCCTTACATGTGTGTGTTTAATTATGGCCTTCTCAGAGACTGTTTTGGTGAATAGGTGATTGCTGGCTTGTGGATATCTTCAATTTTGGAAAGTTTCTACAATTTCTTGACATTGCTCTACACATGTAATGACAACAAACTTTTTTTTTTGGTTTTTTTGTGATATATCAAATGTAGGTTTTTGTTTATAGACTATACCTAGTCTTAATTATAGTGATTTTGATAAAACAACATTTGTATTGCTACACACTAGTGCATGTACTGTATGAGAAGTACGAGGATCAAGTTGATTCGTTTTCAGAGAAAGCAATGACCAAGATCAAGAAACAGTATGCAATGTTTGATGCCAAGGTTCTCAATAAAATTCCAAGAGGACCATTGAAAGACAAGAAAAAGGGTTTAGGGAAGCCGATGTAATCAATTTGCAATAGACATTTGGGTTGTTGTATGTTTGTGGGTGATCATGGTGTCGTTTTGCCTATCTTTGTTAGTTTTATGTTTTATTTTGTTATCTACTGTTTCTATTGTGGATTCACAATTTGGATGTATTTGAGTATTTTAGTGAATTTAGCCTTTAGGTTTTAGACACTGCTTCTAAAAGCAGTATCAGTAGTGTTTTTTTGCCTGCACATCAACTTTAGGTGATTTCATATCAATGTTATTAGTTTGTAATAGTGGTGCCTGAGGGATGCCTCTTGTAAATCTATAAATCTTATATATATATATATATATATATATAAATGATTTTCAATTATTTTCGCCGCTGTAAATTTGTCGTTGCCAGAAAGTAAAGCATTCTCGACAAATTATTTGTTGGTAAATGTGTTACCAAAAGTTTATTTTTGCCCACTCATATTGTGTTGCTAGAAGTGTATTTTTTGCCACTACCAATTTGTCGTTGCCAAAAGTAAAGTTTTATCGACAAACAAATCGTGGGCAAATCGCAACATTTACTGACGTAAATGTGTCACCAAAAGTTAACTTTTTCCGACTCATATTTTGTTGCTAAAAGCATATTTTTTGCCCATGCAAATTTGTGTCGCGAAAAGTGTCACACAATGATCATATTTGAATTACTTTTACCGACGCATGGTAAATTGCTGACGATGGATGAAGGCTTTTATCGATGACTATGTTCGTCGCTAAAGGCATTACTTTTACCAATGCAATACTAATTTCGTCGGCAAAATTCAATTCTTTGCCAACGAATTTTTCCTTTTAGCAACATATTTTGTTGCGTAAAATGCAATTTCTTGTAGTGTATTCAGCTACGCTCATATCTGTTTTGGTGAAATCAAGCTGAGGTGCTGTGTGTTTTTTGTTTTGCTAGGTAGTCTTGGAACTATAGCTTCAGAAGGCTCCAACATCCCCCTGGTACATTGGACCTGTGTTGATAGACTTTGTCAGGTCAGAGATCCCATTCAAGGGCAACCAATGTTTCCTTGGCTGAGGCAAGGCAAAGAAAGTCCAGTCAGGGTTCACCGGTTCAACTGATCCGTCAGTCACCAGTCACCAGTCACATCACCTTGGTCAGAGCGCGAGCATCTACCTCTATCATGGCGCAGCCTCCGGCAAATTTAGAGGATTTGCTGATCCGTTTCCAGCAATCAGTGGATTCGCTGCAACAAGATATGGTTAGGCAAGCCGAAACATTGTAGAATATGATATTCAATTTTAAGGACCTCCATGACATTGGGGTTCAAGTCAAGGAGGCCATTCGACAAGGGATCTTTGTGGAAGATAATGAGCCTTCGAAGAAGGATGTTGTTCACAGTTCCAATGCTACTACTGATGGTAGCACAGTTGTGAAATGCTCAGAAGTAGACACTATCACTACTTTCCTCAATAGCCAAAGACCAACCACTTCAACTCGGCACCAAGCCCAAAATTTCCATCCTCTGTACATGAGTCTTTCTCAAGCTTTGAAAATGCTACGGGAAAAAAGGTAGCTAGAGCTCCTAGAACCTCAACCCCTCCTAACTCCTCTTCCATCAAGATATGACCCAGCTAAACATTGTGCCTACCATCAACAACACGGTCATGATACGAACTGTTGCATCCGCCTCCGTCATAAGATTCAGGATCTTATTGACGAAGAGATCATAACTCCACCAAAAAGACCTCAGGCCACCACAAACCTGTCACCCCCACATCTCAATTTAATCCATACAATGCCATCCGGCTATAACCCCAGTATATACATCACCCCAGCCCATTTACCCAAGCCAGAGGTGTTCCTTCTAGGCAGCATGGACTTATGCATGATGGATGCACCCAAGCCCCAATCATCTCAAACCCGTGAACCCACTACTTCTGAACTGATGAGAATGATTGAAGATTTGCAAAGAACTGTGGCAGATTTAGCCTTTGGAATTTTGGCTCCATCGTCGACCACATCTCAGGCCAGAAGTTTCAATCCAAAAGGCTCCTTAATCTTAAAGCAAATTGCAATTGAAAAGGGCAAACCTGAGGCCATCTCAGATTTGGGTGGTGGTATGTCGACAATAACTGGACTCCGCTCTAATATAACGACCCGATCCTTTGACAAAATGGAGGCAAGCGGTAAGAAGAAGATAGGGGCAGGCATTGATCCCTATGAACACCTTATGTGGGTTGTTGAGGCTTTGAAAGCTGAAGGACTGAACAAACAGCAAGTGCTCACAATTGTTGCAAAAACTGTGGATGACACTTTGCCACTCAGAATGAGAGCAGCTTGAATCAAAGGGCAATCCGGGAGAAGGGCCGTCGTACCAGAAACGTTCCTTTCAGCTCTAATCCTGCACTCGGAAGAGATCAGCAAACCTAGTTAACGCCCATCAATCCCTTTGCTGGTGCATCCAGCAAAACTCCACAAATCTCGAAGTACCAATACCGAGGTCGGAGGGTCTTTCATGCCCTCTACATGCCTTTGTCCAAAGCTTTCCAAATCCTTATAGGACAAGGCCATCTCAAGCCCCTGGAGTCGCGGCCATTACCAAACAAACTTCCTTCTTCCCACAACCCAGCCAATTACTGTGCCTTCCATCAACAAACCAGTCATGATACTGACAGTTGCTTTCATCTTCGCCACGAAGTATAAGATTTGATTGACAACAGGGTCGTCATCGCACCAGGTCCTGCAAAGTCTATCGGCACCAGATCGATGAACTTGGGGGATAATGTGATTATGTGATTGGGGGATGAACCACCAGCAGATGGTGCTCAGTTTACCCCAGATGTGGTGGATGGCACGCACTGTTTTGAGTATTTGCGAATGCTGTTTATTTTACTTTCTGACTTAGGTATTGAGTCAGTTCTGTTTTGTTGTTTTGAGTCAGTCTTTTTGTACTGAGTCAGTTGAGTATGTCTTATTGTATCGAGTCAGTCATGTTTTGTTAAAGTAAGGTGATTTTGGGGGTGTTACCTCGGACATCACTATCTTGTTTTGTGTTTGTCTTTTGCACTTTTTCTTTTGAGTCTGTTTCTGTCTTGGAGCCAGTTGCGCCAGAAGATATGAATGAAACAGCAGTGATTTTCACCCTTTTGCATTTGTTTTTTCCATGAAGCCAGTTGTGCCAGAGGTTTTGAATGAAACGGCAGTGCTTTTCACCTACTTTTCTGTGCCTTGAACTCATTGCATTGATCTAAGTTTTTCAAAACTTTTTGAACAATATATTGAAAACAAAGAGGAAGGAATTCCTCGGGATTTGTAAAATTTTATTAATTGAGAGAAAGAGAGACATGCTAAGCCCTTAATGAATGAGATCATGTTTGTTAATGTGAGTACTGAGAAGGATCCTGGCTTGATCCAGATTGGTTCTACACTATCTTTAGCGCAAGCAATTTGTCACTTTCTTAAAAGATTTCAAAAAATATTTTGCGTGGTCCTGCGAAGACCTGTGTGGAAGCGTTCTTGAGATTGTGCAGCATAGGATCACTCTCAGCCTCGGGACTCAACCCCTTTTGCTTTCAAACCTTGAACTTGGATTCAGAATGTTCAAAGGTCAACCATAATGTGAGGCTTGTATGGCCAGATTTGAAGCAGCCCTTGAACTAGGGGCAAGAAAAGTCAGATCAAGAAGATCAGGTGTTAACAAAAGAAGCTTGCAAAGCTGGATCAGAAATAGCCCTTGAACTAGGGGCTAAAATGTCAGATGTGCTCAAAGATTCAAAAGATAGGCCATTCCGCAAACCAATGAAGACTAGAAAGAATGCCAAATTCCAAAAGATGGAAGAAGAAAAGTTTTGTTGGACAATCGAGTTCCTATCCACAACACTAGGGGCAACTTCAGCCCCTATTGGATGGACTTCTACATCATCAGCAAACAACAGCCAT